AAAGAAAGAAAGAAAGAAAGAAAGAAAGAAAGAAAGAAAGAAAGAAAGAAAGAAAGAAAGAAATGGCAACAAGATAACTAAAACAGTTTTATTTTAGAGATGTCATTGGTCTGTTTGTGGGTGGCACTAGTCTCTACAATGAAATGTTTCTCATAGAGATGAGGAAATATTATAAAAATATATCAGGTTAAAAGAAACTGTAACAATGTTACCTAAACACCCTTCTGTTTGTTTTAAAGAGTTCAGGCTGGCCTCCAATTCCCAACATCTCTAAGGATGGCCTTGATCTGGTCTTTTCCGTGTCCACCTCCCTAGTGCTGAGGTAGCGGGCATGAACTCCCACACCCATTCCTACATGCTAAGCTGGCACACTACCAGTTGAGTTACACCCCGACCCCTGGTTTTGTACTTTTTAAACATTTTCCTTAATTTATCAGGTAGAAATGCATGCATTTTATGTCTTCTGCATATGAAGCCCTAAGGTCAGAAACTGTCTCCCCTCAGCCATTCTGCCTTGGTTTTACAGTTTCAAGTAAGGCAGGGGGGAGCCTCGACACAGACTGTCAATGGGTCTTCCACAAAAGAGCTTCACTGCTAGAGCAGGTGGTGCTGGGATTGGCAATGTTTATGACTTACCAGCAGGCAGGTATTATCAGAGAATAGTCTTTGTGAATAGGATTTCCACCTCACCATCTGCTACTACACGAAGTTAGTGTGCAGCCCAGGAGATGGCTCTGCTCGATGGAGCCCCTTTTCTTCCTGACTTTGTCTTCCGACCTCCAGAACCGTGGGCAGGCGGTGTTCAGTGTGTGCGGCTGGTGATGGTGTTTGTATGTTTTTGACCCTTGCCACTGTAACATAGACCTCCAGATTCCACACTGGAATTGTTTCACCGGTGAAATTTCAGCGATTTCGATGTAGACAATGTAACCAGCAGAAGATGCATGCTCCTGGAAGCTAACGCGCACTGTGCTCTAAGATCACAACGCTAGTGCCAAGTACTGTGAGCTACTGGGTTACTTAATGGTGAAATTCCTTACTTACAAAAAAACTTTTGAGAATCTGAGTAGTAAAATTCTAAGGCAGAGAGGATGGGATTACAGGAAACCTATGAAAGAAGTCCTTGGTTAATTGACCTTTTGGGGGGTCTCAGTGTCTTAACACAAGGAACATAGAGACTATAGCTGGAGATAAGGAGCTAAGTAGATGTTAGTTGCTAGCTATTTTCTCTTCAGCAGCCCAAATTTTGGGGTAAGAGGTTATAATATTTCCATTACACCTTTAGTCTACAGAATGATTAGCTGCTTTGAAGTCAACTGTGATTGTTGCTAAGGGAAAGAGTAAAGAATGTGTTTCTGTAAAGCAATGCTCTAGTAGACGCTGCACAGCTCACAGCCTTGCAAAATGCAGACAGTGTTTTCTCTTTCTCACGCTCTTGTTCTCTCATTATTTTGGTTTTTCTTTGTTGATTATTTAGCACCTTGCCTTGGCTATATATCATCTGGCTTTAGTCTCAGGCCCTACGGGAACTTGTAAAAGTTAGAGAAGGTGAGTTGGTGGAGGAGAGGAGAAGGAAGATAGGAAGGAGAAAGGGGAGGGAAAAGACAAGAGTGGATACTTTCTGAATCTCATACAATAGTGTAAGTCTGGTCTGGAGAAGAGAACTCATATTTCTTAACCCCAAATAATAGATTCCTAGATTCCCCATCTTGTCTCATTGCTTGATGCCACAGCATGCTAACTATTCAACTTATAAAGTCTGCTGGCATTTACTAGTTTTCTAGTATCTGGACAAATGGTACCGGGAAAGGTTTTGAATTCTTTCTTATTTAAGGAGGTTATTTCCAAATTAAGAGCTGATAACTCACTGTGAAGGATGCTGGGCCTGGGAATTGGGGCAGGACCAAATGCAAGAGTTTGTAGAGTAGATAGTTAACCACGAACCCACACACATTGCTTCTGTGTTAATAAAGTGAAATAAATGATGAAATTATGTAGGGAGTAAATCTATATGTTAAGAATTAAAGTCCTCTTATGACTTAGATGTGACATTTTTCTTTCTGATTCATATTTTAGAATCTCCAAATTAAAAAAAAAAAATCTTACCACTTTACCCAATCGTGGCAGGAAACTCATAAATCAACCTCTAAAAGGCTGGTTTTTAAAAATTTATTATAATATCAAAAGTGTTGAAAATAATTTTCTGAGGTGCAGTTTCTGTGTACACTAGTCAGCGGGTAGGTTTTAACGTACATCATCAGTTGGCTGTCTCAGAAGTGCTAGGTTTTCCCTTTGAAAACGGCCTGTGATGTGTCTGGAGGATGCTGGGTCTCCGTGCTGTGAGCACCTGTGTTTGCAGGGGAAGTCATCCTCCCAGCTCTGAGGACCCTGAGAGTTTACCTGACCTTCAGGCTCCTGGGCTGTCCTCTCCTGGATGCTGACAGAAGATGCATGGTTCCTGGGTCAGTTTTGAGTGATGACTACAGCAAAGCAGTGGCTGGGTGACAGCATACAAATGAGCGCTGTATGTCCCAGTTCCAACATGGGTGACGGAGAGGAGCACAGACATATGCCTGCCGCACAGAGGAAGGGTGAGGTGAGGGAGTCTGCTGTTGTAGAGCAAGCAGTAGCAAGCCTGCTCTTTGTCGTGTGTGTGTGTGTGTGTGTGTGTGTGTGTGTGTGTGTGTGTGTCTGTGTGTCTGTGTGTGTGTGTGGTGTAACCTCAGGTGGGGAGACTTCTAGCCTCAGAGCCCACACTGAGAAAGGTGTCCCACACTGAGGTCAGGTCTTTCATTCTCGGCAGGAGAGAGAGGCGTTAGCAAGCACACATGCGAGCCCGGCTGCCAGTGCTGTGAGGGAGCAAAGAAGCCTCTGCCTGCTCACCCTTCCCCATAGATTCCAGTTCTGCTTCTGATGTGTGAATTATTACCTCAGTAAACAAGTTCTTTGGCTGAAATTATTCATGTAATGTCAAATGCCTGCGAGCAGAACGTGTCTGTGCTGGAGCAAAATGAGACACTGCGATGATGCGAGTGTCGGCTTACTAAAAAGTGAGATGGGGTTAAGATATACTTTTTGAGGGGCTGAGGAGATGGCTCAGTGGGTAAGAGCGCTTGCTGCACAAATGCAGGGCGTTCAGATCCCAGGAACTCCATAAAAATCTGCGCATAGTCCTGAGCACGCCGGGATCCTCAGCCTTGTGCAGGGCAGACACAGGAGGATAATGGGAGCTCGGTGCTGACGGCTTGGTTCCGGGTACCTTGAGAGACCGACACCCTTCTCAGGGACTGAGGCAGAGAGTGACAGAGAAGGAAACCCGACATCCTCCCCTGGCCTCTGCACACTGATCTGCACGCATGTGCCCGTACACCACGCCCCCCACACCCCCACACCCACACACTCACACCCACACACCACCACACCCACACACTCACACCCACACACCACACCCCCACCACACCCACACACTCACACCCCACACCACGCCCCCACACCACACCCATACCCACACACCACGCCCCCCCACACCACCACACCCACACCACCACACCCACACCCACACACCATGCCCCCCCACACCACCACACCCACACCCACACACCATGCCCCCGCCACCACCGCCACCACCACCACCATGGCCATCACACCAAATAGTATTTTCCAACTTTGTGTAAGGAGAAAGGGATAACTGTCCAGTTTATCTATGGAATAGTAAGTTTTTATATCACATGTGCTACTTAGACAGATTTCTACTGTGTTTCCTGTTATAATCATCCCTCCACTTCTTTTCATTTTTATTAACTCCTTTCTACCAGTGCTAGACTGAGTAAGTCATTCATTCATTTAAGTCGCTGAATAAGTGATACAGTAAACCCGCTGCAGTAATTAGCTTCACCTTTAGGTACTAACTTACTTAGTGAATATTTACTGAGCACCTTTTCTGTGACAGGCACTATTCTAAATTCTGAGGATTCAAAACGGGGCAAAATGTGCAGGAAATCTAAAGTCAGTATAGCTTCCAGATTCTGAGATCTAGTAAGCTGTAAGAATCACCTGTCCAAATTTAATCCCTTTGCCTCATGGCTCCAGGGACCCCACTCTTACCTTGTAGTTTGCCCAGGAGTTGGGGACAATGACTCAAAACTCATGAATCTGTTTCTCAAGCAGAGAAAATGTGGAGTGTTGTGGAGCGAGGGCTGTTGGACTCTAGACTTAGCAGCAGGTGGCAATGTTGAGACATGGGTCTTGGGAACTTTGCTGTGTTTGTCTTAGACCAGCCTCTAAGACCCAAGCAAAGATTGAACGGTGCTACTTAAGGAGTCGACATACTTTCAGTGTTTCCTACTGTATTTGGTGAACCAATTCGTTAAACCATTCAGCAACCAATCAAGCAGTAATGAATGTTGATGTTCTACTGTGAGTGGTAGCTGAATGGAGAAGAGTCTTTCTCTCTGGTAGTGCTCTGAATTTTACCCTCATAGCTTGAAATACAAGCATGATAGCTCTTACAGAACATGCTTGGATCCCTCCAAGTTTTTATCATTTCCAACTGCAGGTTACCCTGTTGTTCTATTTCCAGAATTTTCATGGGAATTTG